ATTTCAAGAGACTAACTGCTTGTGTGACTATTGCTTATGCAATGTTACATCGTATCATCATCATCATATGAAAAATCACAATAATGTACTATGTGTAACTTAACTCGAATCTAGATTCGATGTTTTCCGTCGTTATCGCAGCCCCGGCCGCGAATGTGCTGAAGTGACGTAATGGCGCAGTGACATGGGTGTAACCTGCGCGCGATAGAGGACCATTGTGAGCACGGATCATCGACGAGGCCGATATGCAATATTAAATGGGAAAGGTTTTGTGCGGAGTGCCGCCGCCGTTGACCGCAACCCGATGTGGGTATCAGTTGAAACTTCGAATCGATTAAACCGGGCAATAGCACAAAATATATATTTAAATATACACCTGTCTTCCCTTGACTTCGTCCGTGTAAATCATAGCCTACGTCACCCGTGTATGATGTAGCTTCCCGTTAGTGTTTTAAAATCGGTCCAATAGTTCAGAGCCAATTATTCGCTTGCAAGAATACGGATTTATGCGTCTCTCAGATGGTCAAGTTTCTGTATTTATGTGACCCCTTTCATAACCAAGAAACAGTGAACTATTTTTTTCTGTGGGAAACCACTGAAGAATATTTAAATGATAAATTACTATCTCGTAAATTAATATTTTTGTACACGATTATTGTATAATCTTTCATTTTTATATAACTGGTTTTTTAAGATTATAATATTGTCTATGTGTACATCATTTAGAATTAAAAGTGACATATTCTGATTTAAGTTGTGAAAGCGTGACATTATATTCTAAGAATAATAGACATAAATATGTATATTGTTTGATATAGCAGAATTTTGTTTTGAATTTAGATATGACCGTGTAATAATATGGCTCAGTAATCTGACATGAATTATATAAATTTCTATCGGTATAGATAGTTTGAAATTTGATGTATAATATTTGCACGCCAAAGCAAAATATTGCTGAGCTTAAAACTTATGAAACAACTTTATTGACACAATATTTGAGCAAATAAATATCTATTTGATT